TTTGAACAAGAACATTCCAGGAAGTTTTGATTGTCTGTGAAACTCTTCTATGGATATCTATAGAACTGGATAATATAATTCTCGCGAATTGTCGATAATGAAACTGTACGACGAGTGCTTTTCCTCTCAATACTGACTCAATGCTTTCCTCCAAAGAGCATCCAATGTATTTCTATAAAATATACGTACACTTTCATGTAACTTGCCGGGACTCCATAAATAGATATGATTTTAAACCAGAAATATAAAAGAGAAAGACAGAGAGAGAGAGAGAGAGAGAGAGAGAGAAATAAAAGAGATAAAGAGAGAAACATAAACAGATTCGTATAAAAAAAAAGTGATAATATTTTTACATTTACTATATCAAAAATAAAACTTAAATATTTTAATTATTTATACGTATTTATATATTTTTAAATACAACGAAACTTTTAATTACAAGAAAATAATGTAATTTCATTGATAGCAATTGTTTTAAAACACAAAATAATAWTAATAATAATATGTTCGTTTAAACTGATTTAGAACAAACTTCTATATAGTCATAGTAATAGAACTTTTGTTCGATTGAAAATAATGAAGGAATCAGGGCACAGTCTCTTATTATTCTTTTTTCTAACGAACCATTCATCAATAGGCACACGTTCTTGAATACATTTTTTCTAACTTCCCAATGTCACCTTCATTGGAAGCCACTTGACACGAGATTGCTGTTCGCATTATTAAAACTATTTTCGTACGACTTATCGACACTTCGAGACGAGCTAAATTTTCTTATTATTTTTCTGGTTTTTTTTTTTTTTTTTCTTTGTAATAGACTTCTTACATTATAAATTTATTACAATTGTTTGGTATTATTTTAATAATTATTTTGATAGGTACTTCATTCTCGGTAGGAATTAACATGTTATATAGATATACATATATCATATAATATTTAACATGTATAATATATATATATATACATCTAAGAATGTCTATGTATATGTAAATATATATATATATATATATAAGTATAATGTAATATATCTTATCTATAAATATGTCTCATTTAATTTTTCTTTTTTTTGGAGGGGGGGGCTATCTTAATTATATATTATATATATGTTTTATTAGTTAAATAAAGTAATAATTTTAAAATGCACTTTATATGCGATATTCTTATTATTTAATTTTATATATATAATTAAGGTATCTTGCATTTTTACTTGATTTTACACTTTACTAAATATATAAATGCATGTATATTTACATACGTACATACACATACACGTATATATTTTTTATTTCTTTATTTTTTTTTTTTTTTTTCAGGAATAAATCTTTAGAAAGAATTTCTTTTTACGAAGCAATGATGAGTAATTTTAAATTTAACGGGAATAAGTTCCAAGATGTTATATATTAGCTTAATTAATTAGTAATAATAATCATTTTCATTTATATGAGAAAAATCAATCACCAAGACATAGGTATAGTCATTTTACAGTGAATAATATTTCAAGTATATTACTATAGTTTTATATATATATACAGATAAAAGATTTTTTTCACGTGTAAGAATTTGATACGGCACACAGACAGATACGCAAATATTTTCGAAGATTATCTACTACAATGATATCAGCTGTTTTATTTTTTTAATACATACACATATATGTATAGAAATTGTACGATAATAATTGTGAAAGAAAAAAATAAAATTTAAAGAAAAATGAATACAAAAAAATCGAATGATAATCTAAAATTATTACGAGTCAATTTCAGTCAACAATTTTATTGGCACCGTATATTTTTAAAGATTTTAATTCGAATAATTTTATGTAAATTTAGTGATATCGTTGCTAAAGATCGATATGAAAGATTCTTTTTTCGTCGTAAAGTTTTTATTTTATTATCACATTAGTACTTCTTTTTTTTTTTTTTTTTAAACAAATCTCTCGTCGATTTCCATACTTTTTCCTATTGTCCTGTTTTTATTTGTTTAAAAAAAAATAAAATAAATAAAATAAAAAAATGATTGGCACCTGTTTAACCTGTTTGTAATAAAATAATGTAATTAGTATGATCAAATAGTAAACGATTTAATATAATAATTAAAAAAACATATTCTAATGTAACAAGAGATTTGATATATCCATTTTTGTTAGTCTTTTTTTCTTGTTTTTCATTTGATTGACACGCGAATATAACGAATTTTATTTATTTTTTTGTTATATTTCTTTTTTTTTTTTTTTTTTTTTAATGATATGACGGCAATCATTGCAATCTCGATTTAAAAATTATTCATGTAATAACAGTTTTTAATATTGATTGTATGACATTGATATGCTCTGAGTATTCTTCAAAATTGTACGTCATATGAGATTTTTAAGATACCATACTAACTGAGTTACATTGTTCATAATTATCAACTTTGTTTAATTACAATCTCGTTATTTCTATTCGTAAGCCATTTGTACTTCTAATTGGCCGTTCGTACCACAGCGAAATATTATAAACAAAAACGAATAAATATTTAAATATATAATTAAATATATAAATGTTCACATAAGTGTACGTGGCATTCAGGTACTCTCCACCATCCTGTGTATATCAAAGTATCTCAAATTTGTCAACTTTGCTGCCCCATTTTTTGTTAAAAAACATTTTGACAAATATCAAAGAATAATCTTTATACTATCTCTTCTTTCATTATCATAAATTCGTAGACATACTATACGCCTAGTGTTGCCAAATTGTTTTTAAATTAATTAGCACAAATTTCAATGACCGCATATGGTATCGTCAGAGTTGCAACATTGCAACCTTTGAAAAATCCTGTTTTATATAATTGTATCCCATATTTAACAAACTAAATGAAATATAATATCAATCGAGAAAATACATAAATTCTTTGATTATGATTTTTGTTCAGATTACACGAATAGTGGTGTCTCATTGATTGTTAAATTTAGTTACATCGATTTATCGAATCTTCTTATCGAACCATTACGAATTTTATTCGAAATTTATTAGAATAAATTATACATCAATCATGTAGTAAGTTTTGTATTTTCAAATTAGATTGGTAAAATTATTATAGATTTTTTCTTTTTCATACATGGTCCGCACTCGATATGATAATAAATGTTAACAACAAAGAAATAAATAATATTAAGAAACGAAGAATCGTGATAATTATTGGAACATGATATGCGTATATAGTAAAATATTTAATAATCATCTCCGTGCCATGACACTACCTTCAAATTCAATTAAAATAATTTATAAGAGAGAACAAATTAGTTCTGTTCATATATATGCGTGGTTTTTTTTTTTTTCTTCTTTTCATTCTTTTTACTAATAATAAATTTAACTAATAATAAATATCTATATTTCTTTTGGCAAGATAACGTTTTGACACTCGAAGGTCTTTTTTTCGGAAGATTGAGAAAATGGATAAACGGTATATTTAAACTATTGATTGTCAGATGTAATAATTCAACGTGATCTAAAATGTCTTGTTCAACATCTTTTTTTGTATTTTCCAATTTTTTAAATATCTTTAAGACATTTTAGATTGATCATTGATTTATTCGATATAAATATCAATCCAAAAATGTCATGGATCCACATTTATATAACTCACTCGTATCGTTTACTTTGAAAGTAAAAAAATTGATTTTAAGTGCAGAAAAATATATGTATATATATATAAATATATATCTGAAAAAAAGGAAATATTTTTTTACAAAACTATCAACTATTCCTCGAGATTGATGTACCGTTTAATAGAAACAAACAATTTTTGTTTAAAATTCATCAAGATGAAATAGCATCGTAATATTATAATCATCGTATCATTTTTTATTGTAATTATGCATTATCTCAGAATTCGTCTTTCCTTTCTTGTATGTATTATTAAACATTACACTGCCCCAACACGCGTTTAGGTGCCTAAAAAAGTTAAAATGTCTTACAAAGCACCAGATTAAAAATATATTTTTTCTTGGACAATGTTATCGATTTTTGTCAATATAATTAACGTTGAAAAGTTGAAAAAGTCTTGATTTGAGAAGCAAGAAAACTTTGTTACTTCTAGCAAAGTGTGTACGTACGTGTGTAAATGTAATTATCCTTTTTTTATTTTATATAGAAAGAACAGAGTGAGAGATATCCGAGGATTCGCGATCCAACGTTGTCGAAATGAAATTGGACGTTTGAAAAATTGATCCAGGATTTAAGATAAAATAGTCGTTTATCAGTGGACGGGGTTTAAACACGGTCTTTTTTCTTTGTAATCTTTTTCTTTTTTTTTTTTTTTTAATAATTCGGAACACGACAGTGTTTTTTTCTTTCTATTTGTTGTTACCAATAACACGGATTCCATATATATATTTTTTGTTCATTTTTTGCTTTTTCTTAACGAGATCACGCGAGATCTGGGATACACGCGTGACAAACAAAATAAATATAAAAAAAAAGGAAAAAAAAACAATACGTCTCAAAATGAAAAGTACTCAGCGTATACAAATGATTATCTAATAATCTTAGAATAACGTAGCAGATATTAACTTGGACATTTCGTCGTTTTTAAAATACAATTGTTATTAAAAAAACGTTGGCTCGCGTTAGATATACGCTTTTTTTTTTCATTTCTTCCTTCTTCTTCTTCTTTTGTATTTTTTTTCTTCTTTTAATACTTGATAGAGAGATGTGTTAATTGCGACAATTGTGAAGATTAACAAATGAATTATTATAACAATATAATAATTATTATATCAATAGTATGGAAAGATCCAAAATAGTTATAGATTTTTTTTCTCATAGAATCTTGTCGAACGGTGTCACAGATTTGATCTTAGAATTAAATAGATATAGAATATTGTATTTCTTTTTTTTTTCTTTTTTTTTTTTTCTTTTTTTTTTTTTCTTTTTTTTTTTTTTCTTCTAATTGTAAGTATTGATAGAAACATTGATAAAATTAATTGCATTCCTAATTCTTCTTCTGCCTCTTTTTATTATTTCATTGACACTTAATTCACGGAAGGCGGCAAATTGATCAAAGTCGAACTGCTCAATCTTGATGCTCGAGGCTCAATTTCCAATGACATTCGATATAAATCTTTTTCATTTAACAGCAACGACGAATCCAATAAATAATTCGTTACCTTTGTGATCAATTCGATCTTATAAGGTGTTTGCTGAAAATGTCTTATTTCACGAATCACGTGTGCAATCTAAAAAAAGAACAAAAATCAATAATATAATAATTGTTTTTCATTTTTAATATCAATTAGGTGATTATTTATTAATCAATTTATTTCATACCATTCGCATTTTGGAGAAGTTTAATAAACCTTCTTCAGTGAAATTCGGTGTACCTTCTTCAATGAAGGAAAGATCGGTAAGGTATAGTCCTAAATATGGAATACATGGTGGATCGCATCTGTGTAAAGCGTCCCTTAAATTTCTAAATCTTCCGTCGGACGAGACGATATTTTGTAGTTTTTCTATTGTTTGTTTAGTCTGCAACAAATTGATTAGATATCGATTTTCTAATTTCATTATTAAAGTAATACAAAAAAAAGATAGATATTAAAATAGTTTTTAATTTAATTATTATTGTTTATTCTAATCATTACAACTTAATATAATTATATGAAATATTGATATATACAGGGTGATCTGTAACTGGTGGTACAAGCGATAAGGGGATGATTCTACATAAAAAAATAAATTGAAAATATGACAATGAGACTTGATTATGTCTCGTTATCTGTTGACTCGATTATGTATCGTATATATAAAGGATCTCTTACCGTTTTAGAAACCTTTTCCCAAGTTTTCTTCAGCCTATACACACTGCTATTGGTAAACGCAGCACAAATTTGTAATACACCATTGTAATTATGTAATACTCTACTAATATCAGCAACTGCTGCCCATTTTTCAATAGCCGCAACCCTAGCCGACATATTTGATCTACGAATGATCTCAGAAACAACTAACTGCGATACTTCGTTAAATCTTTTTGTCATTAATAAAATATGCGGAGCACGCGTAGCTTTGTCCGTTTTCATCCAAGCTTGACCAAGAAATTCTCTGTGTAAGAAAAATATGTTTGATTATTATTTTTTCTTATTTTTATTTTTATTTTGTTTGAAAATTTTCTTTAGAAGATTTTTTTAACTTACTCGCTAGTGATAGATATAAATATTTGATGATCCAAATAAGTCATTTGTTCTGCGATTTCCAATGCTGATAAAGTCTCAATACTTTCTTTACTTGCTACCTGATTAATAAAATAATAATAATAATAATTAATACTCAAGTTATACGATAAAAAATACAATAATTATAATAATTTATAAAAATAATCCTTACCGTAGGTGGTGTCAAGAGTTTTTTAAGATCAACCTTGTTACTTTCGGGTTCCTCTTTGGTGATCAATCTTAACAGCTGACTAGCAGCTTTGTGTTCAGCCGGTAAAAGATTAGGACTATAAATAATATCTTCAAGAAATTCGATGGTCAAAATTTTCAATTTTTGATCCAATTCAAAATCTTGAGCGTGTTTCGAGACCCAATGTCGAAGAACGTTTAGTACTCTCATGGTTGCAGCTGTTGACATAACCGATTCCTTTCGTCTGTTTTTATCATTTCGATTGCTTCCATCACTGACACTGTTTTTCCATAGTACTTTGTCAGGTGGATTACTCGATGCTGAAGTTGCTATGGCAAATGCAGTTGCTGCCGTTGATGTACTGCTCCTGAGGTATGAGAAAATAATTGATAATATGATATATTCATTGATTAAGAAAGATCTAGCAGAGATTCGTTAAATCGATTCGCAACTTGATTTTCCATTAGACCTATACCGTGATCAATATTTTTCGTATTTYAATGAATATCGATTTTTGTTTGTTTGTAATTAATTAATATTAATTGTTAAAAGTCATTTTTTATCTTTTTTATTTTTCTTATTTTCCCCGCACGATTTATTCTAATCTACGTTCTAATGTGCAATCTAATTGACTAACTCGGCAAACGTACAACGTGTAAAGTTAGCAGTGAGCAAAAAAGGCATAATCAATATCAATCAATATCATCTATCGAGGTTCGGAACTATTTCTATTTCGTTTTAATTCGTGGATAAATTCCTCGTAATTAATTAATTAATTAATTTAAAAAAAAAGAAAGAATTAAAATAAAAAAAGAAAGTAAGTAATAATATGTATAATATAGAAATATGAAAAAATCAGAAATAATTCACCGATAACTAAGATCAAAATTAAACGGGACCTAATATATATATAAATGTGTACGTGTATTTGTATTTATGTAAGTGTGTGCATATGTGTGTGTTTGTAATTGTTAATATTTCACTAATGAAAGCACAGGCAAGCGAAAGATAGATTGATAGATAGAAAAACATAAATTTATCTCGTTAACGTTTAAAAGCTGACAAAGTATATGCGCCATGCTTTAGTTTTTGTAAATAAATAATAACATCATTTACAAAAAGCACAGATGAACGCACTTACTTACCAAATAGGTTGGGGTCCGATGCTATGAATGACGCAAAACAACATATGAATTACAGTTTAATTAAAAACGACGATTATACAAATAATAGAATATATTCCCGGATTTTCGGTGACAGTACTCTATCTACTACTTGTTTTTTCTTTTATTTATTTATTTATTTTTTTTTTTTTTTTTAATAATTAGGAAAAAGAAATTAAACGAAAAACGAGAACGTCCAATAGTCCAATAATCCTGTGTATACGCACAGAAAAATAGAAAAATGTTATATAGGCAAATATATTTTGTTTCTATCGTTCTTTCGAATAATACAATATCCAATACTAATTTATATAATAAAATGATAGGTAAACAACAATAATGTATACATATATGATAATATGTATATTGCGTAATACGATTAAATACGTATAATAATAATATAATAAGTAAGAAGAGAGGTATGGAAGAATAAAGAATCTTTACATATATAGATAATTATTAAAGATATAGATAGAGAGTAAATTAGAATGCTAATGAATATGATAAAGCAACCATCAATGCGTACGAAATGTGAAAAGTATATTCATATTCTTTATTTTTTTATTTTTTTTTTGTCTTCTTTTTCTTTCTTTTCTATCAACATATTTGTTGATCTTCTATGTTTTTTTGTTTGTTTGTTTGTTTATTAAATATTTTTGATCAACGAAATAGAGATAATTTTGTTAAAAAAAAAAGCACGTTGTACAAAATAATAATTCTTTACACAGCACATGATACAGTTGAAATAACACGTATCGATTATTTTGTGTTGCCTTCTTATTTTTTAATTCTTTTCTCGAATTTGAAAAAGTAATGGCAGCGTAAATAACAATTTCTAAAATTCGAATAACAATACAAACCGTTATACATATACATTATAATATACTACATACATGTGTACTCGTACATGTATATCGTATATCGAAATATCTACATGCGCTCTGATTACGTACAAAAAAATCACACTGTAGAATGTTTTATACGAAACTCGAAACCAACCTTCGATGACTTCGTCGAAAACTGGTAACTACCACACCGGCCTTACTGGATGCCTGTTGATCATGTTGAAAGTTTCCTTGGGACGATGAACATAAATCGGATTCTTGAATAGATCGTCGGGTTGCCCAATGATTCTAATAGAGAACAAATAGAAAAGAAAAATTGTAATAACAAAAATAATATTTTTTAAACAATCATTTTTCGCAAACGTACTCCCATTACGGTAGAAATTGAACCACTTCTCATTCCTGTAACTGGTGCAGAAGCAACAGATGCTCTATGTTCCATGTGATGCTGTTGATATTTAGTTTGAATAGAGGTAGTTTGACTTTGTCCAATCGATACCGGTGTCTTTTCTTCTTCGGTCCATTCTTTTCTTGTTTCCTTTTCAATCTCGTGATCTTTGATTTTAGGTGTTTGTGGTGTAGCAGGAGTCGATGGTGTTTTTTCTGTTGTTTCAGAATCCGTAGATTTGCCTGATGTCAGTGTTACATCGGCATATGTAAATTGTACTTCTGTTTGGATTACATCGATTAATATATTTTATTTTATTGCAACAAACACTTGGATGTCATGTTATCATTTTATAATTAAATTCTAATCAATTTTAATATCGAACACAAATTAAGATAAAAAATAGAATTCATTTGGAACGAGATGTTTGATTTATAAACAAGAAAATCCAATTTCTTTGGAATTAGAAATAGAATAAAAAGATTTTAGATTGCAACATTTAGGCACCACCTTTAAAAGTAATGATCTCCCCAATACGTGGAAAATGAAAAACTAAAAATTCATTGATTTAAAAGTTTGAAAAAAATTACTTAATTTAATTGATGTAACATACGCTTACCATCTTTGGAAGATGTACTTGTAGCTACAGGTGTATCAGTTTCTTCAGAAATACCTCTAGAAATTGTACCACCTTCTTGAGGACTAGGATCTGATCCAGATCCTGAACCAGTCGATCCAATTAACGTAACTGTACTTAAATTGCTCGGTGAAGATGGTGCACTCAGTACTGTTGCTTCTATAATTAAAAAAGATATATAAATTTATGTTAATTTTATCGCAATTCAAAAAAAAGAATAGACGGTTGTATTAAAAAATTATTTCATCGTTGTTTAATATGTCTTTCAATTTTATTAGTAATTTTTTTTAAATTAAAAATCATTTGTAATTAGACGAAAAATATGAAATGACCAATCAATTTAATGATTCATTTGTTTTTATACCAGTTAACGTTTCTGAACTCGATGATCCGGCTATAACTTTTGGAATGGTAAGATGACATCCATCATTTTCGGTATTATTGTCAACACGTATGCTGATTTTTCTTGAGGTTGCTGAAGATTGAGTAGTCACGGACGGATTTGACGATTGCAATGTTGGACTATGTTTCATGATCGATGGTGCTTCCGTTATCAATCCTAATGATTGTTCTTCTTCCACTTTTCCAAAAGAAACAAAATAATTCGTTTAATAACATAAATATTAAACTTTGTCCATTTCATATAAAAAAAAAAATAAAATAAAATAAAAATGATTAWCATCACTTTGATGTGTGTGACAAGAGTTTAATATTTAAGAAAAATATTTCAAATAAAAATATACTCACATCTTTTACAACCACCACGCCAATGAGTCTTCGAATTTAACGTGTGTGCTCCAGTATTTGATTCGTACATGTAATGTCGGTCTCGTTCGCTAATTTCTGATCCGTATCCTAATTAAAAAAACAAAAAGATATCATCATTTTCTTTTACACCTTAACGTTGAATTATTTCTATTGTTTTACATCATAAAGTTTTCATACCTTAATGGGCAATATTATATATATTTTGAATTAAAATAATGATTATTATTAAGACTGTTTGATACCTGAAACAGAACTAGCACCACTTGTTCTTCTTGGAGAAACACTGCTTCGTCTTCGTTCATCCGTATGAGTTTGACCCTCACTCATGGTACCTCCCAAAACATCTAACGATCTAAAAAATTGTATCAATCTTTCAATCACATTTCATTAATCACTTTAACACTAGATTTATGGATTTTACATGTACATTTGTCTAATTTTATTAACAAACACTTTAAAATGCACTTATTATTTTCTTTTTATATACGATAAAAACACCATAAATAGATCAAACAAAAATGATAATTTAAATAAGTAAAAAATGTAAAAAAATTAAATCCATCCAGTTAAAATCAAGTTCCATAAATCCAGTGTTAAATTTTGTTGATTTTACTCACACGAGAGAACCACAAGGCATTTGTGCATCAGGTGGTTCTGTTTCGTAAAAGACTTTTTTTAACGCTTCCAATACCGTGACACCATCGGTGAATACTCGGTAGGTCAACAGAAACGTGTTGAGAAAATCGATACTAAGAAATCGTAAGTCGGTAAGCCTTTGTAATAAACGTTCAGGAGTGGCCGAACGGATTTGTGGAATTTTACAAGAGTTCAATGTACGACTGAACCTAATGTCTACGTCGTCCTTGAATAATTTTGGATCGTTTTTAATCGATTGTGGCATCGTAACGGAACTTGTGTCCGACATCGAGCAATGAAAGATATCGTTGAAATGTACGTTGTCCATGCATTGACTTATATCACTTATCCATGCTGCTTTTTCCTATAATAACAGTTATACAATTTTATTTATTATAAATTCATTTCGAGTAATCATATTTATAAATTTTTGTAATTATTAAATAGATGATAATATGGGCTTCAAGTTTAACTCATAATTTATACTGTTTTAATTTTCTTCTTGAGAAAAAAATAGAATTGCAAGTAACAGAAATTTATTACTGCATTTGTGCAAAGTGTTTTATTTTATTTACGAAAGCTCGCAATATTTAATAATAGATCTTGGTAAACGATACGATATTGTTCTCTAGAATTTATTCAAAATTTATAATCCAATTGAGTTACTAGTAATATCTAAAAATTACTAGATACCCTAGTACCCTATATATAGCTAACAGATGCAACAGATGACACCATGCGTTAGATGTTTCTATTACATTATGAAAACTATCAAATGTTTGAAAATATTAACCTGGATAGTTGGTGCTACGAGATGAACGGTAACCAATGGCCCACCAGATTTCACATCGAGTACGATCTTGAAGTCACGATTTTGAAGTTGTGAACTAGTATTTCCACTTGCACTTCCACAACTCTCACTGATTCCACTTGACATAGAGCATACTGAAAATTCTATAAGTAGTACGATCACTGTTCTATCATAGAACGAAATTATAATTATTTTATATAGTATACAGAAACTTAGAGATCAAGATCGAGAAGAGTAGTTACGTTAAGACATTCATTCATATTGTATAGCAAATCAATGATTAATTTCATAACAATTATAATGATGAAATATTTATAAAATACTTCTTCGATCTAATCTCGTCTATATTCCATAACTTGATAATACCGTCATCGTCCGTAACACCTTGTTCGCAGGGATCCTCTATGAGAACAGCATCCGATAATGGAATTTTGCCGATATGCGGTATCAAATTCAAACGACCATCATCGTCAGATTGTCTTGTTGTCAATAACAAATGATTCGAAAATAGGAAACACTGTCTTACAGCTTCCTTGTCACTGGAACCTTTACCACCAAATGTTGCACTCAATCTGCTACGTGCTCCTCGTGGCTTATCAAGTATCTGTACGAGTGCACCTGTAATATAAAAACATATATATATACTTTTCATCTTTAATATCTTTCCTAATCGATACCAGCATTTTTTTCTTTCATGATTTATTTTTTTTTTCCTCTTTCTATATCGCGGATTTAAAAATTGTATACCTGAATTTGTTAAGGATTAAATTTCTTCCTTGATTATTGTTTTTGTTTTTCTTTTTAATTTGTATTAAATTTTGTTTACGCGAAGTTAGAATTATTCTTGGTCCCCCTATCGATAGCCCTTGTACTTTAATTGGCCCCAAAAACATAAGTAGATTCGTTTTCTTAAGAAACAAAATTGTACAAGATGGCAACACCGAGATGAGAACTCGTGTTTTTTTGTATGTAATTTAATTAGATAAAAAGAAAAAGATATATATTAGTAAGAAATTTAACAAAAAGAAAACTTAGGACGGATAACGCAACGTTTAAAGAGAAACAAATGGTTATTGTTTTAATCTCTTGTTTTATTTGTCGTTTATATCACTGTAGACACTGGTACTTCAAAGTTGCGTGTTTCGAAGATTCGACAAAGTAGTCCTAACGTGGAATGAAATACGTTTGCGTGGTAACCATGTGATTCAATATTAAGCACGAGGAGACAGGATCGTATCAACTGATTTCTCTTTTCAGACAAATATTTCTTGAATATTTTGAATACTTGATTCTATTGAACCAAATAAATCAAATATTTTATTCGAATTTTATCGATGTATTTCAAATCTACAGAATGGAAAACTTTATCGACGATCTTTGGAAATCAAAAATATGGTATTTATGGCATAAAGGTATTTGAATTTTATTTATATCTCAAATGCTTCGAACTTTATTGAAAATTTCATAATTCATATTTTCCTGTCTCTTCGATATAATAAAATAGAAAATATTTAGAATAAAATGAGTATTATCCTTTAATAAAATATGTGAATTTTTGTTCTCATTGTACCCTTTGACGGAACTTTCATACCGCACGTGGATTTCGTTCCTGAATAGAACATTGTGCGCAGAATCAAGTTAACAGGGAATTTAGTTTGGTGTATTAGTGCAAACTGACGTGTACATGTCGTGGCATCGATTCCTCTGAAGTATGATTTGCGCTTGCGCGTTAATTCTACTAAAGCTTGCTCGTTTTTACCCTCCATTTTCATCCTTCGATCATTTCGAAAAAGAGGGTGCACGTGGTTAACTGTTCTATTTCAACCCCCTACAGTCGAGATCTTACCGACTGCTAGGAAAAATGTATTTCCATTTTCTCAACGAATGATAAATGGTTTGTAACGTTAATGATAAAAAGAAAAATCTCAACAGTTTCTTGATCTTTCATAAATATATTTTTTCTTAAACGTTTTTAATTTGATATTCGTGTATAAATCTTACCTTGTCTGACGAATACTTGATTAACATCCAAAAGTATATCACAACCCTCAACGATCATTCTCTCTACTGCCAAATTTTTTCGCAAATTTTCCGTCTCGCTCACCTAAAATTATTCAATTAGATTTTTATTTTTTTTATTTTATTCTTTCACTATCGAACGAAATATATTTCTTTGTTACTTATTAAACGATAATAGGAAATCCTTCGATTTATTTCTACAATTAAAGCAACAAATTATTGCTATCGATAAATAAAATTAAATGTAATACCATGGGATGGGGAGAATTTATTGAGATAGAAAAACATAATACATACCTCGTCATGCATTTGCCGAGACAAATCTTCCAGCTGTTGCCTAGCATTCTGCAAACTCTTTCGTTCAACGTGATCGTGGGGTGTATGTGCCAGAAGCTCGTGCAGAGTAATTATGTATCTCGGAATCTGCAAAGTTTATAATTAATTATAATAATTTATTCTTAATTAAATGACATACGAAATAAGAAATGTAATATATAAGAAGTAAATAAAATGCAATTTTATTTAACTTAAGTACAGGTGATTAACCGAGAAGAGTTGCAATAAATAAGAAAAAATAAATTACTCGTATTTCCAGGCTCATACATTCGGTGACAGACGAAATGAGAAATATATTAGATAAAAAATAGATGCTGAAACTATAAACTCGGCAAGAAAAACTCGGCAAAAGATAAATAGATAGATCGACAGATATTCATGAACATGGTTCTTTCAATTCAATTTCTTCTTTAGCATTTTTCAAACTATTCCATTATTCATAAGTATTTTCAAACTATTTTTCGATCGTATCTTAAGACATAGATATTTTCTATATTCCTTGTAATCTCTTATTCTCAACTCTTCGTCTCGAGTTTGACTCTCCTGAGAATTTTCATAAGAATAGAAAAAAAAAAAAGAAAAACTAAAATGTAATAAATAAGAATTACTAAAGTTGAGATACCTGATGCATCGGATACGTTAAAAACATTTCAAGTGATCGTCCATGACAAGCAGTCTTATTTTCCAATCTATTGAGAAGCGCAACAAAAGGGGATGATTGCTTGCACTCGGTCAACACTTGAAGGCTGTAATGGTGGTTGCGCACGTATTCTTGATAAATTGACAACATTGGTAGTAGTATGTCGAACAAGTCACCTACGTTGAAAAACAAAATTCAAGCATAATAAAATGAATGTATTTATTGAAATAATATACAAGAACAAGCGAATATCTTCAGGGTTTTTTTTTTGCATTTCAAAACATATTTTGTATTATATCGAATTTTGTCAACCTTTCATACGTTTGCCAGGTGGATAACACCTGAAGCATTTAACTCTTCGTGATTTCAATAAAAAGAATGAATAAAATGTATCAATATTTCTCTGATATTGTCATTTTTATAATTGCTAGCATAGAATTCGGTCTCGTCATCACCATTTTCAGTGATTTGGATATTCGGTTTATATATTTTGATTTAAAAAAATTCAAATTCTTTTGAAAATCGGTTGTGCGTTAACCGGGTATGCCATTGAAAAAAAAAAAAGAAAACATTTCATGTAACTTACCTAAAACTAAAGTGGGCCAGCTCTCCATGCGAGAAGTAAGACCCTTCAGGAAGATCTGATGAAGGAACAGTACTGTTTCGCTATTCAAAAATATACTATTCACGTCTTCGTGACTACATGGGGGTTTCTTCGAACTGGCAGCCATTTTAAAAGGCCTCAGGAAACAGCTAACCAATATCTCCATTTGTTCCGTGTATTCTTCCTCGGCCTCAACCATTTGAAACACCAAGCTGAAACACCCACATATAGGCTCTATAAATATATATATAAAAGGAATACGATCGATTTTCCCTTCTCCCAATTCTTTTCTACTTTTCGAAGTTCTCCTACTCGAATTTCAGTGATTCTCGGAGATACGTTTACGTGTATAGAAATCCTTGTATATATTCTCTTCGGTTACGATCGATCGGTCAAACATTTAACGGAGAAATAGGAGGTTAAGTACAAAGCTGTTCAGGTTATTAACTTCAACAGGTAGTAGCTCTAGTCATATATAAACAATAGCTTCCTAATCATCGATTCTAATGAATTCCATTGAAGTGTTTGAAATTAGTTTTCATGGATAATGAATCGATATACAAGATTAATCGATTCCTGATTAATAAATTTGATTGATTAATAAAATTCTTCGAAACATCTGATCAATTTTAATTAACAAATAAAATCTTTGATGATATATAATATATAGAACTAATATTCATGACCTAATTAAAATATATTGTTTTATTCTTTTTATAGATAATGTTTTAGAAAGAATGTGTACATAAGAATTTCATATAATACTGTAGATATCCTAAAGGATCTGAAAGGTGATTATAATTTACGCATCTTCGAGCATGTAATTCGGTAAATTTTCCGGCGTCTGCATTTAGATCGGATTGCAGGATTGATGTTTCAAGAACGATGCAAATGACGTACGTGTATACCAAACTATACATGGTAATAGTTAATATTATAACGATTTCTTCGAATTATTAGTTACTCTAAATCAAATCAAATCAAATCCAATCAAATGATTGTCAATAATATTCTATCTCGAATATAATTATTTCAAGATTATTGATTTCTTGTATTATCGAATAAAATAATATTTTTTAGTTAGGAAAATAATTCAAATGTTGCTTATTAATCCTTCCATCAAATAATATAGATATAAAAAAGATCTAAAGTTAATATACAGAGGAAAGGGGATTAAATCGTTCTATTGAACTAGATACGTAATATATTCTGGTGCAATAGGAAATCACGCTGAAATAGTCGCGATTTACTTTTTGTTATTCGGAAAAAGGTATTATGGAAATTTATAGGAAACGATTGAAATCGTTTGTACTGAATGGGTCGGATGCAGTCGACGTAAATTGCGCACTGGTTGGTTGAGATGGAAAAAAAAAAAATAAAAAGTAAAAAATAGAAAAAATATAGGAATAGTGACAAAAGTTCAAAAAAAAAAAAAGAAGAAAAATATAAATAGAATGATCAGAGAAACGTTAAATTGCATGTATGCATACATGTATGCATATTGTGATTGGAACGAGAAAAACTGACAATTGATGAGTGTGTGTGTCTCTCTGTGAAAGATAAAGATAAAGAGAAAGATATATAACGTTACTGTAAATTGAAAATTGAAATAAAATAAAACAAACCTGTTTCGTTTGCGCATACTCTCTGCATGTGGGCTCTTGATATATTGTTCGACGATTTGTTTCCAACGTCTACGGCAAAGCCAGCCACGGAAAAAGCTTTGAACTTTTTTAATTTTCTGCATTTCGACGGAACCTTCGGTAATACCTCGTAAACCAAGCGAACAGGATACGAGTGAACCTTGAATTTCGGGATAAAGACCATAATGTACCAGACCACTTGCTAAACTTCCTGTTCCTTGGGACAAAGTCCTTTGAAATCCTGGACGAGTTGTGAATCCTTGTGCAACTGATGGCCTTAGTTCCTTCTTCAAAGTACATAACTAAAAGTATATATATATTGGTATTAAATTTATATATTTGTATTAAATATAAATTAYTATTATTATAATTATAATATTATTCAAAATAATTAAAATCTCGCTTGCAACAAATAAGTGAAACAATATTAGCAAATATGTGTTTCGTTGATTTATGTTTAATATAAATTAATCATTTTTTAAATTTTTCTTCGTACCATTTTTTAAGTCGAAACGATTTACACATCCATATTTAAACTTAATCCCATTTAATGTCTCATAATTTACTGAAGTAGACAGCCCATTTATCCAACAATATTTCTAATTGCAAGTACTCAAAAGCTCTGACAAGGATTTTCTATTACCATAGTCTTGAAAAGTTTTTAACTATGATTTCGGATCTAGCCCGAAGCGAATTTTAAAGTTATTCATCTTTAGAAGAAAACTTTTGAAACCTATGCACTATATCATATATATATACCTCGCTCATTTACAGTATCCTCGTTGCATATACTATAGCCGTAACGTAATAAGTTGCAACAGCTGCAACAGTTCTTTAATTTACATTTAAAAATCTAATTAATATTTATATATTATTAGTTATTATATTATGTGATTTTAAAATTAATATTCTACATAATTTTATCAAGTTCAACTATAATATAATATAATGTAATCAATTATATTATAATAAGTAATAGGAGAAGTATGTAAGACAACCTTGTATATAAAGTTGAAATAATTAATATAATAAAAATTGATCTCACTATTATCTATAAACATAATTTAAAGAAAAAATAATATGCAATAACGAATTATTCATTTATCTTCACTCTATTCACCGAGATCTCGTTTGATATTTGCTATAATTCAATAAATAGATTGTACATATTGAACAAAATGTAAGCTCTCGAAATTGGATTACATTTTCTCTCTCTCTCTCTCTCTCTCTCTCTCTCTTTCTATTTCTTATTTAACAAAATAATATATAAAATACTTTGACTATTACTATTACCATTGCATATTCCTTCGAGAGCTTTTTGCCATTCCGTTGGATACATTAAACGAAATTAACAAATTATTTCCTGAGAAATAATGGAAGAAAAACATTGGAAGGTAATAAAAGAAATAGAACACAAAGGTAAAAAATAACAATTGGATACGAGTACATTGATAATAATTTTCAATTTATCGTGCCAGTTATTCAAATGATTCATTGACAATATTAATCGACGAAACCCCTTAAGAAAATGAGTATAGTTTTTTTTTGTTAAATGTCATGGAAGAGTAAAACTAACCCCTCACATTTGTAAGTTTAGGTCAATCGTGAAATAATATTTGATTATTATAGAAAACCAAAAAGAAAAACGTAATGATCTTTTACCCTGTTTTTACCGTTCTAAATTATATGTTCTTTTTCCCTGATGGAATAATGATTCTAATCGATCAATCTTAATTTTGAAGTCAAGTTTTATTATTTCGGTTCGATTATCATATAATAAACTGTCACGGAATAATACGACAAAGTTCGTTTTACACGGCATGTAATCTACAAATAGTTATGTAAATCGATACATTTTATTATTCAGAAATGTTGTTTACGTTTGACGTTATTTTTGATGGAATACGATTCAATAAATAATTTTAATTAGTATACTTGATAGTTGTGTTTAGAGTTTTATTAGTTTCGTTTTAGAAAACATGATAGATATCTTTTTTATGCTAGTTTATTAATAAATTTATATATCTATTAATTAAATTATTATATATAGATTTAATATAATATAAATAATATAAGAGAGTTTATATTATTTATATTGAAAATTTATATTAATAATTATTATTAATATAAATTGTGTGTGTGTGTGTATATATATAATAAATTACAATATAATACAAAATTAT